CATGTTTGGTGGGGTTCCAGGTTTTGACCCATCCCCATATCTAATAAATTGCCTCACCTTCTTACATGGAAACGAGACTAAAAACTGAACAACAAGGATTTCTGCATCTCTGCCTTGAGCTGATCAGCTATTGCACTGTCTGTCTCTTGGAACCCGGTGATGTTCACTGACGCCCCATGTTGAAGGCCTCATGAAAATGCCACCGAACTCATGCGTTCAAATAATGGATGTTCTTGATTAATAAAATTTGGATACTGTATGACCGGTGGTGTATGAATCAAGAGTCTACATTGCTCGTCCTTCTCGTAGTGACATACATGAACCCTCGAAGCCCCGGTTCTGAAGCCCGACCATCGTCCTCCTGTGGCTCTGGCCCATAGGCATCTTTGTGCCTGCATTGCCTCCATCAAACAGAAAAAAAAAACATAGATCTTCCACGAAGAAAAATTGATCTTACCGATGTGCTGGTCCAAGGAAAACACTTAAATATCATGTCGTACGTACGGTACCACTAAGCTCCCAGCCAGCGGTGTTGGGAAAAGACACGGTGACCAAGTCACTCTCAGGATGTCCCGGTGGGATGAAGGCGACATCCACCCTGTGGAAAAGAAGTTGGCTTGATCCTCCACACATGTACACGTATACACAATAGCTTAAATAATCATTACTGACATCACTACAGTACATACAACTACATATCATTACCATAGACCATAGTATGCATTTACAATGAAGACAGTTCTCCAAACGATACCAGCAGCTGGAAGAAAAAGAACAGCCTTACCTGGCTGGCTCGGGACCAAAGGCATCCTGCTTTACAACCTGGCTCGACGTTCCGACGGCTCGGTGCAGTCCCAACCATCCTCACTGGGCTCTGTGCTCTGACTTCCACCGTGTAACCAGTGAGGGTGCCACTCCTTGGTGTGCTTGGTCTGAGGGTCTGATAGAAAGATTTGGACACTCGAGTGCAAATGCTTTTGTAGTTGATAGCTATTCTCTCTAACTCTTCCTCCAGTGCGTTGTCCAAGCATAGCATGCCTAATCCGAACTTCTTCCAGCGGTTCCCCAGCGCAAGCACTTGGTGCATGTCTAGCATCTGCGACAGGCGCCGTACATGAGGATCATCATGAGGGGCGTACCAGGTGGCCCTCGTCAGGTGAGACAATGGGATCACACGGTGGATCATCTATCAGTGATCACTATCATTGATTGTGACTTCAACTATCAGCTTGAGACGAAATAAATCAAACAGAAATCAAACTTTGTGATTGTTGTGATGTGTTTTCTTTTTTTTTAGATGTATCTTTAATTACTGTAATGGTGTCAATTCATGTTCTTTATTTGTTCTGGATATGTTGTATGATTCAGGTTCAGCTGAATACAATATATTTTCTGTTGTTAAATGACTGTACAACCTTGGAAATGCATCATGACGAGGCTACCATATGCAAATCAGAAAACACAGCATGAATAAGTTATAACTGTTTCGTCAAAGATCATCAAAGTGCTGTGCTTTACAGGGTTTCGAGGTTTCTGACAATTTTCCAGGTGCTTGGCTGCGGCGTCTCTCAGTCTTAGTCTTCAATTATCATAAAATAAACATACCACTTCTCCACAACAAATTACATAAATGAAAAAGGTGTTCCTAAGTCACAGTCTTATTTAAAAACATAAATATATATATATATGTATATATATATTTATACATATATAGTTAATGCATGTTAATTCTCTCTCTATATATAAAAAAATTATAAAATATATATGTATATATATATATGCAAGACATTCTCCTGTCGCAGAAATGGAACATCAAAAATCATTGAATATGGCAACCTCCCCGACAAGAATCGAAGCTTGCAGCATTTCCAGGTTTTCTGATTTCGCGGCATTCCGCTCCGTTGAGATGCGCTGTCCTTCGAGGAGTCTCGGCAAAAACACCCGAGTCGACCCGCGTCGCAAGGATGAAAAGGGCCAGCCAAAGCGCCGCCATTGGCCTCACCAAGCATCCAACGAAGCTGTGCTTCCCTCTACCCCCTCACCAGTCCAGCCTTCGCCAAGGCTGCAACAATGCATATATGGCTCGTGTTTGAGCCGCAGCAGCGCACAAATATAATTGCCTTTCACTTTCAAATCGAACAAGTACTTGCTACCATCTACCTGGTCTCCACCCCCACTCGACGTCACATAGCTTGCCAAAGACTAAGCGAAACGCTCAGTGTCAAGCCCCTCCGTTGTCATAGCCACCTCAGGCTCAAGGTCTTTCTAAGAACGCTGCGCTGTCAGCAGCTCACGAGCTTTTTCTAAACATGCCGCCTAGTGTAGTGCATTCCGAATATCCCGGCCTTCTAGTCTTTCAATCACTCTGCTTTCTGCTTCGGTCAGGAAAATGCCGGCCACTCTTGGAGGGCCAGGCTGCATCAAACCCGAGTCGGTCATGAAGTCATATTATATGTCAAATCCTGTCAAACACTGCAATTCTGCTGTCTGTTGCTCTGACGAACTCAGGTCTGTGAAAGGCCCCTTCGCCTCAAAAAAAACAAAGCTAGATGTGAGTCTATCTGCATCTAAGTCTACTGGCCAACCATGTGAGTCTGCTAGCCGTTTCAGTCAATCTAAGTCTTCATCTTCGGACTCCGGCGGAGCATCCAAACCATCCGGACTCTCCGGACAAGCCTCAGGACTCTCTGTGCTCGTCTTCGACTGCATTTGACGAATGAGCTTCTGGGCTTTGCTTCGGATCGATGCACTGCCAGCATTCTCCTCAAGTTCTTCAATGTCTTGAATTGGAAAGGCTGCATAGAAACGCTCTGAGTACTCTGCGGACAGGCTTGTCAAGGCCTTTTGAAGGTTGGAGATGAAAGTGAGGCAAAGGTCTTGGAGCTTTCCGTCGTGACTATCCATCAGCTCATGCATAACCGTCATACAGTCAGCATCCATCAAATCTCCCACAACTTCTGGCCTTTCGCTAGCATTTGTAATGCAAAAGGCGGCCTCTTTTCGAACACTGAGTTCAGGATCTCTGGCGGTGATCACAAAGCGCTCGAAAAAGCCGGCATCTCTGATCTGCACCACTTGGTACAAAGGTCCTGCACAAATGTTAGAGAGCATCCAGCAGCATTCCTTCCTGATCTTCATCTTGGTGCTTGTTGTCAATTGCATCACCGACGGCAAGGGCTTGCAGCTCAAAACAGCATCCGTTTGCGCGTCATCGCCGGTGACAAGATTCCCTACAGTGCGGAGTGCAGGTGTATGCACCATCTGTGACGGGTGAGCCAACAGCTCCACCAGTCGATCACAAATTCCAGAATCGATCACGGATTGGATGTAGTTGTACTCTCCATCAGAAATGTAAGACATTGACCAAAGGGCATCTGTCAAGACATCAGTGTCACTACTTTTGCGCAGGTGCCGTGTAAGCACTGGCAATGCAGGCTTGAGGTCATCCAAACGTGGCTTGGGAGCGCCACGAAAGAAGTTGGAGATGGTCCAAACTGCATTGCGAATGCAGGAGATCTTTGTGGTGCTCTCGAGCACCTGAAGTACTGCTGGCATCCCTTCGCTTTGAAGGCAAAGGTCTCGATGTTGAACCGAATCTCCAGCAATATTTCCAATGGCCCAAATTGCTTGTTCTTGCACGTCTGGAGTCGAACTCTCTCGCATGATGTTGATGATGATGGGCACAGCATCCAGGTCCACAATGGCTTGGGTTTGCCGAGCATTCCCGGAGACGATGTTGAGCACTGCCCAAAGCGTCTCAAACTGCAACTGCGGGTTGGCCATTTGTTGGCTCAACTCCAGAAGCCGCGGGGCAACATCCAGCTCGAGTACTCGATCAATGGGTGGGTTGGCTTCCACTGACAGCACCTTTCTGAGGTGCGTGGCAGCATCTATTTGATATTCCACGGATGATGACATGATCATAGCCTTCAAAACCTCCAGCTGATCCAGAACTGGAAGTGCTGGGTCTAGTTGCGGAATCTGCTGTGTCACGACCAAGACTTCGAGGCATCCTTTGCCTGCTGCAAATTCATGGGTCACAAGTTCCCGGCAGCTTTCCCCATCCTCCAGCTGTCTCTCAAAGGCTATGAGCTTCACTTCATCCACACACCGGCCTAGAACATCTCCAACCTTTTCCCTGAGCCGTTCCACCGTCTCCAACTCCTCGGCCTTCATGGCCAAAATCACGGCCCCAGAAGCTGTACGCACACGAAGCGCTTCTGTGTCAAATTCATCGGTCTTCTGCTTCTTCAAAGATGTGGAGCGCTTCAGCTTCACACTACTGCAAAAGATCCACTTCAAGGCTTCTTCGATCCTGATTGCCCGCACTGACTCATCCTGAATTTCTGAGAAGCAAAGTCTGAAGTTCTCCAGCAAAGTGTCGCTGCAGAACTCGGGGTCCAGCTTTCTCAAGACTTCCGAGAAGACCTGCCAGTCCATCACCTCATCCCCCTCAACCTGATGTCTTCTGAAGCATCCCAGAATGGACTCGAATGTTGCCTTGGAAGTCATGCCCCTTTGGGGATGCTTCACCAGCCACTGAGCCAAAAGCTGAAGAAATGAACTTGACCAAACCAAAGCAGTGAACCTACTGAGTCATGACAAGCCTTTCTCAACTACATGTCCTGACCTGTAGTTGGACACAACCTTCATTGGTTTTCTGGCTTTGCTTTGCGACATCTGGGGCCAGGCCGGTCCTCACGTGCCAAGTCGAGCATCTTCAGGCATGCCCACCTGCAGCACAATGCCCCCGTGACATTCAACGGTGTCTGTGCTGTGCTGATACTACTATATTACTGCACAGTATATGCTTTACACATATAACCATATATACATATATGTATGCACACATCATCATACATCATATAAGGTCATCTATTTGCATCCTAAAGCCCAGCAGAAGTTCAGCGCAAACTGCTGCTTCAGCCTCGCCACTGGAACATCCCACGGCTGCGCAGAATGGCTCTGTTTGTTCAAACATGCACTCACTGACAATTCGGTCATGCAGGCGGTACAGTCTGGTAGTGGTTCACTCCAGATTTTGGTTTTTCAAAGTAGCGTTTCCATGTTGGAAACGATACAACAAAGGCAGCAACCACACATAAGAAGCCGATCAGGCTTGACAACTCAAGGATCCATCCCCGGCCATCTTCATCATGAAAACGGGACAAAGCCCAGAAATTCAAGACAATGAAAGCAAGTGCCGCGAGCAGGAACAGCAGGGCGATATAAAGGTGGATGTCCTTAGGAAAGGTGTCGAAAGCCCCGGCGCTTCCACTATGGCTCACATGGCCATGCTCGATCCTCACTAAGAAAACCTGGTTTCGAAGTTGGCGGCGCCGATCCGTGCTCCACTCCCCAATGTCTGGCAGGTATTCGTCTTGAAATGCATAGATCCGCCGCAACTCATCTTTCTGGCCTACGCTTCGTTCAAAGTCTCGAGCCTTCTGAAGCAGTTGATCCACATCAGACCATTTCACTTCATGCGACGACCGGCGGAAGCGGTAGACCTGCTCGTTAATGCGGTTCAGGACTTGATTGTATTGTCGCACCTTCTCACTGTTGGGATTACCACTTTGAGGAGCAGCCCTGGTCAAATCCAGACGGTGGTCCTGCATGGGAGGTGAGATCAGCTGTGCTCCCGGCCAAACCCCTCGCATTTTGGGCCAAACTGGGGATCCTTTTGGAGGTTTCTTCAGGTCTTTTCTGTCCATCCCTGCCTTGGCTTGCAAGAAGAAACCCAAGGAGTCAGGCGAAGCAGGGCCAAAGTCTCGAAGGAAGCTGGGCAAAGCATCTTCCATCTCCTCGGGACTGTGAGTCAACCATCCCCCTACAAATGACGAATATTTAAAAAAACAATAAAACACATCCCATTTGACCTCAAGTTGGAGCATTGCAACTCCGTGGTCTAAAATCGTCTAAAATTAACCGCGAGACCAGCATTAACAATCTGTCTATCAGTAGGTCCCAGTCTCTGCCAGTAGCTTCAGAGCGGTGTCCTCTTGTGGCTTCAGCACCAAGGGGTCCCTTGGAGCAGCCAAGGCTCCAACGCCTCACCCGACGGTGCGACAAACCGGGCGTTGAAATTGTGCTCTTTGTAAGCTACCAGTAGCGTCCTTGCTCCTAGTAGCGATGCCTTTGTTCCTAGCAGTAAGGCCAGGAACTACTAGTTACTAGTAGCGATGCCCTGGCTACTAGTAGCGATGCCCTTGTTCCTAGTAGTACGACCAGAAGCTACCAGTAGCATCCTTGCTCCTAGTAGCGGTGCCCTTGTTCCTAGCAGTAAGGCCAGGAGCTACCAGTAGCGCCCTTGCTCCTAGTAGCGGTGCCCTTGTTCCTAGCAGTAAGGCCACGAGCTACAAGTAGCGTCCTTGCTCCTAGTAGCGATGCCCTTGTTCCTAGCAGCAAGGCCAGGAGCTACCAGTAGCGTCCTTGCTCCCAGCAGCGAAGTAGTAAGACAAAGAGCTACCAGTAGCGTCCTTGCTCCTAGTAGCAGTGCCTTTGTTCCTAGCAGTAAGGCCAGGAGTTACGTCCTTGCTCCCAGTAGCGATGCCCTTGCTCCTAGCAGTAAGGCCAGGAGCTACCAGTAGCGTCCTTGCTCCTAGTAGCGATGCCCTTGTTCCTAGCAGTAAGGCCAGGAGCTACCAGTAGCGTCCTTGCTCCCAGTAGCGATGCCCTTGTTCCTAGTAGTAAGGCCAGGAGCTACCAGTAGCGTCCTTGCTCTCAGTAGCGATGTCCTTGTTCCTAGCAGTATAGCCAGGAGCTACGAGTACTGTAGCGTCCTTGCTCCAAGTAGCGATGCCATTGTTCCCAGTAGCAAGCCCAGGAGCTACCAGTAGCGCCCTTGCTCCTAGTAGCGATGCCCTTGATCCTAGCAGAAAGCCAAGGAGCTACAAGTAGCGTCCTTGCTCCTAGTAGCGATGCCCTTGTTCCTAGTAGTACGACCAGGAGCTTCCAGTAGCGTCCTTGCTCCTAGTAGCGATGCCCTTGTTCCTAGCAGTCAGGCCAGGAGCAACTAGTAGGGTCCTTGCTCCTAGTAGCGATGCCCCTATGTGTGGTATTGTCTCAACTTGAAGTCGCTTTTTTTGTCACAAGGTACTGCCACTGTCTGCGGGCAGGCCTTCAAACAAATATTGTCAGGAGCAAATATACTGGATGTGTTGAGGCCCAACTCCATGGTTTGGCAAGAACGATTCAAAGGTACAAAGGCCTGTTCTGTAGTGTCCAAGACTATGACTATAGCTTGTTTTGGTAGTAGGATACATTGCGGCTAGCCTTGGTGGTGTGCATGCTTTCTTTGACGTCCATCTGCCCAATACCCCTCAACATTCAACATGTACCCTTTGCGCTGCAGCCTTATCCGCAACTCACTTGTCTTATACAAACCTCCTTACAAGAACCTGCTTGTTTCCAGAAGCCGCCTGCATCATACAAGCATCTTCCTTGTAGAAGTCTATCTCAGACAATGTATTCTGGTGTGCTTCTTGGTCGGCAGTTTAGCGCATTCTTGGCCTTATCAAGTATCTTCCTCGTTCAAGTGTTGCCTTTAAGGCTATTGTTTTGAAAAACAACCTGGTCGTTCATACTCGTTTGGCCTGCGTTGTCCTCTGGTTTCTTCCTCGCCCACAGAGATGACTGGACTCGTCAGACTGTGGAAGTTGCATGAAGTTGCTCATAGGCCAGATTTTGCCGGGCTGCATGGCTATGAAGTTGCACTTACCACCGGTGCGTCTTGGGTTAAAACTTTGCTTCAGATTGCTTTGCTAAAGGTATGGCAGGACGGCACCTTTCGTTCGGAATTCTCCAAGTCGCATTGGGATTTGACTCGTGAAGGCTTATGCCGTAACACTGTGGAGCTTCAAACACTCTGGAGCACCGGTTGGAGACTTGTACACAGCTCACTTCAACCTCGGCTTATGAGATGGTGGTCTCTCCTTCCGCCTTGCATGCGGTACCATGGACTTTGCCGCCGGATACTACCAATGTTTTTGAACATGCTACTTTGCAAAGTGTCTATAGATCCTACACGTTGGTTTAAAACAAAAAAAACAAATTCAAGATAGATCCCAACACGGGGAAATGTAACATGATTGCGTAAGTATGCCAACTCTTCATTCGTACAAAGAAATCACAGATTCAGTCATACCAATATATAGTCTTGAACTCGTTCAAAAAATACTATATTGTTTTCATAACATGTGCATAAATGTTTCACAGATGTTCTGAACAATTATGAACAACATTGAACAACAAACGTATGTTATCAATGAAAGATATGGAAATGACATATAGACAGTTTTAATGGTTCTTATCCAGGATAATTTTCTTTTGTGCGCTCTCTGTGGTGGCTCTGTGGTGTGGTACCAGGACTCTGTCAGTCCATTTCCAGTGCTGAATTGACGGCTCTTTCACGCAGGAGGTTGTGCCCTTTGGCCTGGTTTACCAACTAAAGGCAATATGTTTCTGAAGGCTGATGATCATAAGGATCTTTGGGGACTGGTGTGCCAACTCTGGTCCACCTTTTCCCTTGGGAAACACTGCCGCAAGTTGTGCGAATCTGAACCGGCCTCATCCCTTTCAGACTTTGCACACTCGCATCTTGGCTGAGTACACTCAGGCCAAAAGCAATTTGATGCCCGGCTGCTTGCTAGCGGTGGCGAACGCTCATAGCACGCTGGCGCAGGATGCTGCGGATGAGAAACAGTTTCCGACGGCGCTGCTGTCGCACACTTCTGAGCAAACCAGTGAGAGGGCGCCTTGGTTGAACAGCTGCCGCTTAGTTTGGATCGAGCCTTAGTCACCTGCTCGATTGCATCCATTTTTGGACTGCCAGTGGTCGCCAATGTTTTGGGTTGGATAAGAATGGTTGAGACGTTGTGATGAGGTTGGGGTGAGGAGATTGGCTTCGTTCGTGATGCAATGCATCGTGCGTGGCACGTGGGCCATGCCGGTCACCCGCTTGAGATGTTCTTTTTCGGTTTGGTCGGATGTTTGATGGAATTGGGGATGCTGTTTCGGTTGTTCAGGTGGCTTTGAGAGATCTCTCATGATCTCTCTTTATTCACAAGTTCCTGGCATTCATATTGGCTGGCACACTCTGGCGAACCAAGCTGTACAGGGAGGCTTCGTGATCTACTCTCCCAGCGACCTTGGCATTCTAGCGTTCACGTGACAAGGCCTCGTGAGGTTCCTTTCGATGATTTGGTGACTTCTTTAGTCTCTCCGCAGGGAGGACATTGCGGGGTGGCTTAGCTGGTCCACAACACGTGCGACCTCCTGCTCACTGCTCATGTGACTGGACGGCTTGACTGAATCGCGCAGTTGTTTTGAAGACACCCTTTCATGAAACAAAGTGCACTCCTCTACTGCCGCCTTGCCCTTCATGACGATGTGCGGCTAAGGATCCACCTGTTCTTCGAAAGGGCTTCTTCTTCACCACATGTTCATCGCTTAAGAAACTAAAGACCTCTTCCCTTGTCATAAGCAGTCTCCACGCACATTCAACTTGGCATGGCACATTTTAGGGTCAGTCAGTGTAAGAATGCAATATCCTTCGTCTGCAAGGCTCTTATCGCTAAATTAAAGCAACAGTGTCATTGTCCTTAAGGGATCTTTTTGTTTAACACAATGCGAATCCTTGATAGTGCAAGCGCCCTAATTACCTTATCCAGAAAACCTCCCCGATCATCCAGGCCTCCGTGATTCCCCCTTTTGAACAGTGCTTGAAGCTTTCAATCGCATATCAAACGAAAGGTAAGATTCATCATAATCAACCTTGTCGCAATGACATGCTCACCGCAGCGCGGTCCCTTACCCAAATGTGTCATACACATAATGTGTATATATAATATATACATATTCTGATTGTAAATATATACATTTTTTATATATATTATATATGCCATATATACTCTCCCTTAAAGCTGTCAACATCTGTCAACGCTTCTCCGTGCTGTGTCGGGATTCTCCGGATGGAAATCGTTCAATTCCGTGCTGAGCGGCCTTCAGGCGTCCAAGTGATCTCCATTTCAATGTAGGGATCTCGGTCACCAGCTCCTTCTCCTGTCAGCTGCAGCGGCCCGGTATTGAAGGTCACTTCCTTCGAAAGCCCGATAATACCTGAGAGCGAAACGAGTCAATGAAACCCGAACAACACTACAAAACATAGTGAAGCACGATGACACAAACAATAGATCCTGTCGTCGGATCTCTTCAGATTTTCCAGTTAGGGCTAAGGCATGTGAGAGCAGGGTTTCAATCAAGGGCCTCCGGGTGTGGCTTACGGCATCTATGTCACTGCGGGCACCATACGCCACAACACCTGCCTAGCTCTGGCATGAGACCTGCATAGGTCTAATAATGGTCTAATTATTGCGTGGATTATTCATTGCTCGAGGTTTTACGGTTTTTAGAGTGCCAGTGATGACCCACAATGACAAAGTCCTATGTGGTCCTATGCCGCCGATACTGGCGCCGATCTTCACAATTGACGTCTTCAAGTGATAGCAACGATGTCTGACTTGCACTGCACACCGATATTTGCCGGAGTGCCTTTCCCGGCTTGCTTCTCAATCAGCTGCAGCACTGGAAGGCTAGTGCCGCCCAATGGGTCATTGGAGGAGAAGTTGTCTTTGTCGGACACCGAGATCTGCAAGAGCGGAAATCGATCCGGGGAAGCTCGCGTCACTGGCAAACGAAGGGTCTCCCACTGGCCGGTGCGCGGGTCTTTCCATTCCGGATTCTTTTCGTTGTTCCACACCACGCTGGTAAGTACTGGCCTCGTAAGGCTTCCCAGTTCAAACTTCACGAAAGGATCAGAGTCGTCCAAGAGGTCTGCACTGCGCAAGTTTCGGGCTTTGATCTTTGTAATGGTCAGGCATCCTGTAAATGCCTTCTTCTCTGCCTTTGGCCCGTTCTCAGCTGTGCCTTCTAAGAGATTTGGAAGCCCACAGCACATGCCATCGCTTTGTTTCTTGGGGGCTGTGCGGGGCAACTGCTGTGCTCGTTCGATCCAAGCCTGGCGGCCGTTGTTTCCAAGCATTCGGTCCAAGTTTGCTGGCCATCTTAAGGCCAAGACCTCTGCTTCAGGCCACTTCCGCTTGTCAGACACCTCGGATGGAGCAAAGTCAGGACGCAAAGGTACAAGAGTCCAATGAAGTGACCCAACCGAAACGTCCACTGAAGGACCAATTGAAAACTTCAACCGGCTGAAGTCATATATATGTTTTATCATGTTTTCACGTTGTGTCCAGAAACGTTAACAGCTTTGGACTAAGCGGGAATGAAAGCTAGAGAATACTTTGCTCATTGCACCACCATCCGAGGCGATGGTGTATTCTCTGGTGCTTGAGCACTAGTTTCACCAATAAGACTTGTGTGGAAATGCTCGAACCCCAATGTGGAACAGCCTTTTGTGTCCTAAGCTGCATCCGCGCAAATGATCCTTGCAAGGAGTGTGTCCTAAGGTGGGGGGAGGAGGGCCCCCTAGATCAATACGCTATCAATTCGTTGAGGGTCCCAATTGATTCTATCGCGCAAAACGGGGGGGAAGTCTTTTGTAGTGACAATTAGTGATATATCAATTCGATCCTTTTGAACTGTCATTTCTGAGCCTCCCCTTCCAAAACTTCAACAAACCTCCTTCAGAGCTCGCTTTCGTAACTTTAACCTAGTGGCCAACTGAAGGAAAAGCTCCGCACAGGAAAAACGCAGCCTTTCCGGATCCCACTTGGAATCCACAAAATACTCCGCTCGTAGTTGGAGCAACTCTTCAATCTTGTTAGCATCTGACCAAGGGCTGACCCCATCCAAGGCTTTCAAGAGTTGATTGCCGCGCGTCAAGGCTCGGTTCTCTTCCTCACTAAAGCCGCCACCTAACCTTTGTAAAAAACTCTTCTGTCCCAACTTGGCATGGAATTCTTCGAATGCCACGGAGGCCACATTCACAGCCTGTTCCTCCTGTCGGTAGTCCCGGTCCGGCTGGAAGGTGCCTGCCAAGGTGGTGGAAGACTTCACGGAAGCCTCCCAGTTCTTCAAAGCCGTGTAGAGTTGCTCCAGGATTTGGTGCAACAGCGCCGCCTCCGGGTCGATGCTCCGCTCCTTCCCCTCCTTCCCGTCCTTCGACAGCGGCGACGGCGCCGCGACGCGAGCGCGATCGCGGTGTTGGATCGGTGGAGATCCACTGCCGACACTGCCAGCCTCCACCAGGGTGACTGGGGAATCGGAACCCATGGGCGACTGCTTGGGTGAACTCCAGGTGGTCACGCCCCATGGTCGATCTTCACGACCGCCTGGACTAGCTCGATCTTCAGCCTCCAGGTCGGATCTGGAATACTGATTCCGGGTTCCTGGAGAGGACATGGACAATCCATGACAAAACGCTTGAAATCTGCACCTCTGCCTCCAAAACGGGAATACCGTTGATGGGAAAAATCTTGAGATCAATAGGAAATCTGTGTTCAACTACAGTAAGTCTTGGCAATTCATGGAATATGGCTCTTCTCTATGAAAAATGTATAACATTGTATAACCTAATCCAGGTTCCTCCCAACAACTGCTCAAGGTTGCCCCAAATGCCAAAGGAATCCGGCTCCGCGACGGCACGGTGGGCCATGGCTGGACTCACAGAAGAACAAACAGAGAAATGGTTGTCACCACACGTCTCACAACCGGATCAGAGTCACCACAGCGTGCTCAAAGGAGTCATTAAGAGCGAGCTGATGAAAGAAAAAGAAGAAAACATGCAGTCGTTAAAGGATACAATGGGTCACATTGTCCCTGCTATGCTGAGAAATCGTCTCGTGTTCACGTTGGTTGGGACAATGATCCTGCTACTGCCTGCTGTACTTTGAGCAGCATGGCTCACAGGGCTGCGGTGGCGATGAGTCCTGGATGGGGGTCAAACCACAGTGGGACCCCCGTGCACGGGCTCCCCGCAGCTATAAATATACCGGTCACAACCGGTCTACATGGTCAGGGGGCAGTTCTGCATCGGATGCATCCTGCCTTGAGCGCTTGGTACGTTGGACCCCTGCCCAGGTTCAGCAACAGTGCAACGAGTCTGCAAATCGCCAAACAAACAAGCACAACTCAATTTAAAAAATGATTGATCAAACATATTAAGCCTATAATAAACTCAAGATGGTGCCAGGACAAACCAATCTAAACGGCTCTTGTTTAAGAGGCAAAAGCAGCAAAATGCTATCTGAAAAAGCCCTTCAACAACTGAAAGTGAAGGCAGTGCAAGGCTACTCTCTAAAAGTAGCTGCTTTCTCTCTTTGGTGCCGCGCACTGTTCAGCAAATGAGATGCTTTCTACTGAGGAGCGCCCTTGCGCTTGCGACTCATCTCAGGTTCCTCGCGCACTTCTCCTGGACGCCAGGTCCGAGCAAACCAAGCCTCGCCAGGACCGTAGAGTCGCAACACTGCGAACCATGTCTTCTCAGGAATCGTCTGTATCCAATTCGCCTCTTTCCCTTCCGGAGCACTGGGCGAAAACCAAAGAGTGATCGAACCATCGGGGTTCGACTTGATGTCAGGATGTCGAACTGAATTCCGGGCGGGGGAAAGCTGCTGAGTTTGCAACATGGACCTGTGCTGGGCATCATAGATTACAACTGACCAGAAATCCTTTGCCGGCACGTTTGGTGGCAAGGTCAATGAGTAGCACTTGCCTCCATCGAAAGCTTGATGCTTCTCATCTCGGAAAACCAGCGCATACTGAGAACCCACACCCACCATCTTGAGAACAATCGCGGGAGTATTCAGAGTAGCTATATAGAAGAATCTGGTTCTGGCATCCAAGGTTCTCGCTCCATCATCCAGCCATCGATGATCACTAACCTCAAATAGTGTTTGCCACTCACTGTCTTCACCATAGAGCCTGGATGCTGCTGAACGTGGTGCAAAGGAAACCGCACGGGCAGTGGCATTGCCCAGTGCAACACCTTCCGTCAAAAGCCGCGTCATCCGCTCATCCGGACTAAAGGGCTGGCCCTTTTTGATACCAATGGCCGCCAAGTTCCCCCGGAGCTCGGGGTCCAGAAACTCAATGGGTTCCCTTTGGATGCACTCATTGATCTCTTTGAAGAAGTTGAAATCATTGGAATGAATGGTGTTCATCACTTTCCCTGAGACATTGAAGAATTCCATCTTCGGTTGATTTCCAACAAGCGATAAAGGATAAATCTTCAGCCCCCCCTTCCACAATGCAGCAGCATGGTCTGGACGTCCATCTTTCAAGAACCCTCTGATGATATTGAAGTTGGTGTAGGTCGGCGAATGGAACACATAATGACCTTCTGGCACTGTGCCGTCATAGCCCGGTGGGACAATCAAATATTTGCCTCCAGCTCCCTTGTCCGGCCCGGGCCTCCCCATGTCTGCCACAAATCGGAAATAGGCATCGTTCACCGTTCCTGGTCCCGCTCCGGCGGGCACTTCGATCACAGTGGGGCCGTCTCGCTCCAGATTGAGGATCGAGCACACATAGACGGTATCAGTGTTTCCGGTGAGAAAAAGAGATTTGCCGTCCATGAGGCTCTCAAAAAGAATGGCTTTGTGACAAGCATCGCAACCAGCCTCCACAAGACTAGCTCGCATAGCCTCAAGTGATGCCATAGGTATCATGTCTAAAAAGGCGTGCATTGCTCGTGACCGGTCCAAATTGTCATACACCTTTTGAATAGTCTCCTCATCTGGGAGGCCATCATGAAATTTCAGCTTCCCAATGCTCGTGTCGTACTCGTCCTTTGTGATTATGCCTTCCGGAACCTTCCCAAATGCCATGCCTGGACTTGGGGAACAAAAGATATACGAAACAAATTGCCGATGCGCGGCAATCACAACGTTGAGCCCTAGCTTGAGCAGCAAATGCTTACATAAGCAACACAAGCTGCAAAATCTTGCTAACACATCTCCATGCGTATTGTTGCAGGATAATGCATGATATGGCCATGTGCATGATGCTATCAGAGTCATGTCATATCCGCCTTCTTGTGCTGCTCAATCAGAACACTCTGCCAAAACCCATCAGCCGGAGGCCTCAAACAGGGTGTGGCAATTATCATACACGCCTGTTGGTGCAAATACATAAATATATATATATATATATGTTTAGTTTATATTGTGTGTGTGATGCACAACGTCTTTTCCACGCGTGCTCCCGAGCCCAGCAGTCCCTGATGTGGGTCTGTCCGCCTGAAGTTGGCCAGCCCGGAAGCCCAAAAGACATGGCTTGCCGTCTGCTGCCCCATGTCGCAAAGCGAATCAATAGCATTCAGAGTACGTGAATGTCTGAAAGACGGCTCCAAGAGCATAAGAAGGCCACTCTCACATCGAGACAGAAGCTGGGTGAGACGACCCGAAACCTAAAAGAGGACCATAAGAAGGCCACTCTGAACGACGAGGTTCCCATGAAAAATCTGAGACTCGTAGCCTTGGGCGACGAGGTTCCCAAATAGACTCAGGTACTGCCATCGGCGATCATCACTTCCGGGGACGTCAAGTGAAGTGAGGTGCGGACAGAACGGCAGGACCATTGCAAATGCAGCAAGTGTTCCTCTTGGTCAACCAGCTGGAGATGCACTTGAAGTGGAACCTAAGCGGGCCAACGAGGCCAGTCAGCCTAATCGGATTCAAGTCTCCTCTTCAACCCTCCTCTTTGTTCGGTCCTTTTTCAGGACTCAGTCCGAGAGGCTCGTGCTTGCAAGGAAGCCTCAGTCAATTCGAGAAGCGCTGCCGGAGGCAGATCCAATCTACCACTACGGGACCTTCATGCACTCTTGGACTCCTCATGCGTGGTAGATGTCCGTAGGAGTCGGATGCTCAGATTGATACATTCAAGCGCAACTCAAAACTCCCAAAAATGTCGAACAAAGAGCAGAAAAGAAACACATACATCATGACAAATAAAACATATCTCCAGTTTCCTTGTGGACCTCACCGGAACTGACGGTGGAGACGACAGGGAGATTCGAGGCTCGAACACCCGAATGTCCTCCTTGGCATCCATCACCTCCTGGCACACCACGCAAACCGTTGCCTCGGTGTAACGCTCTGCACTTGCAAACCGGTGCGCCGCATCAGAAGAAACATTCTGGAAACACTTTCCACATGTTCCATTCACTTCGACAAGACCCAAGCACAAGGGCATACTCTACACATAAAGCACATCAGCGTGTATGAAAGTTTCTTGGGACTGAGTATTAGCTCAGCTAAGGCCAAGACCTTCGGCGGTTCGACCTGCCCCTCTTCAGTTGTGAGCCCTGGTGGAGGTGCCCTCGGCAACTTGGGCACCACATCGGGATGGACCGGTGGTGCTCCGCCACCCACCAGGACCTGAGTCGAGCGCAACTCTAAGACCTCACATTCCGCAGCGTGAGAAATGGACTCATATACCTGCAAGCACGATTACACGACCAGCACTATGTTCCTGGCTCGGTCACCTCTCCATCTTGGCAAGTGCAAATAGCACAGAAACCTCAGCGCATACTTACATCTGCCAAAGTACTTCTCATCCGCTTCTTCCATTCCTTGCTATCTCTCTCCGTGGTATCTAAACCACTATATCTATGTGAAACTATGGGTACATTAAATAGCAACAATAAGAAATACATTGAGTGTTTGCCAAAACGTACAGTCAAGTAGAGAACGTGATTCATCAAGGTTATCGCTTGCTGCAGGGGGCCCGCCCTCGCTTTGGCAGGTCCTAGCAAAATTCCTGATATTCACCACCGTTCTTGACTAAATTTGTCATTGCGCGGTTTGGCGGTGGCTCATATGGGCACTCGCTGATTAGGTGCCCTCTGGCAGCACAATCTACCTCGTCTCCATTCTACGATCGCCGTCTGCATTCTGCATGAGCAAGGATTTCAAGACTACGCGTATACTGACCCAAACTGATGGTCTTTTGGCCTCGAGCCTTGAAAACAACACAGCAACAACTGAAGCCAAAACCAAAGTTGACGCATCAGCAACAAAGGAAGTCGGGCAACAACATATACAACGTACAAAAACCAAGCAACTACCTGCATGTATATGATATGAATCTACTTCAGTGCTCCAGGGTTCTTTCATGGTCAGGGTCCTTTGGTAGACGTCTCCATCTTAGGTCACTTAAATTGCTGTTTGGTACATGTGGGTTGATTCATTGATAGGGTTCATCTTAGATTTCTGAGAAACGCGCCGCACAAGCGCAATTCGCTGAACAAGCGTTTGTTGATAATTTGTTCTTGGTTTTAATTCCTGCTCCCCATCCCCAACCCCTTTGTCAGCCAGCGGAATGCCATAACAGGCGCAGCACTCAGTTCAGTGGGGTCGGATGGGTTTCAACTTCAAAACATCAATTATTTCAAGTTGAAGTTTTGTAGACGTTGTAGGGTCAGTGTCAGACAATTAGAGCTTAGCACACTTGAGTTGCAGTCGGTGGGTAGGATGGGGGAAGGAAACAAACATAAACAAACACTAACAGTGTCCATGAACCAATGGTTGGTCGAAAAAACATCAAAATAGAATTGTTCACAGTTGACAGGTGCGTTGTTTTACAAATGTTGTTGTATGTCATCCTGATTGAGGTGTTCAGGTGGAACTTCTTTGACTTCAGTGACGGTCTGGGCCACGTCAGCTGCGGGGAAAACAGATTCCAACCAACCATCGACAAGATGGGGAGCGCTGGACAAGCGCATTGGCTGCCTGAAAAATGCAGCCTGGATTTGGAATCTGTTTTCCCATTGGGGGAATGTGTTGAAAGAGACACCTGGTATCAAAGATAATCTTATTTGAATAAATCTGACGTCTCCTCTTAGCCAGACCATAGAAAATGGTTGCATTCAATTAAAGATTCTTGGAAATATCTCACCGGAAGGCACCGCTTATGGCTAGACCCTCTGTGAGGGTCTAGCCATTGACAGTTCTTCATGGAAATTTGTCGCCAGCCCATACATGCTCATGGCGAGCAATTCTAATTGGTTATGTTCAATGGCGAGATATCTGGTTTGGGCCATGGCGAGATATTCTGGATTGTCCAACGGCGAGATATCCTGCGTTGACCAGTGGCGAGATTTGTGTGTTCATTGGGAGATTTTCTGAGTTGGTCAGCGGCGAGATTTTCCGCATCTGTAATTGATTGTAATTGTTATCATTATTGAGTTCTTTTGTTGTATGTCTTGAAACAAAAACACATCGCGCTGCCCTTACAGGGTGAAGTTCTGAGCTTGCGGATCAACCCCGACATGGACACGGAGGCCCATTCCAAACATCAGATTGGAGTCGTTTGGTTCGACATGGCAGTATGAAGGGGCTGGCCTGCTACATCAACCTTGTGGGCCTTGTAGTGTTGGACCAGCAGGGCAATTTTCGTCCAGAGGATCTTGCCCATCCTCGGGTCCAGACCTTCATTCAGTCGCAGATTGCCACCATCTTCAAGTCAGATGTTGGTACTTCCCCGCTCATTGACAGCCAGATTTCCAGGGTGGTCAAACAGAACCAGGATTCCCAGGTCCAGGCGATCTCGAGCTTTGGAAATCACTGGCGCTTGTCCAGCGCCCGGTCGCTTTTTCAGCGAGTTACTCACCCTTCACAAAATGGCTAGTCATTTCCAAAGATACCAGGTGTCTCTTTCAACACATTTCCCCAGTGGGAAAACAGATTCCAAATCCAGGCTGCATTTTTCAGGCAGCCAATGCGCTTGTCCAGCGCTCCCCATCTTGTCGATGGTTGGTTGGAATCTGTTTTCCCTGCAGCTGACGTGGCCCAGACCGTCACTGAAGTCAAAGAAGTTCCACCTGAACACCTCAATCAGGATGACATACAACAACATTTGTAAAACAACGCACCTGTCAACTGTGAACAATTCTATTTTGATGTTTTTCGACCAACCATTGGTTCATGGACACTGTTAGTGTTTGTTTATGTTTGTTTCCTTCCCCCATCCTACCCACCGACTGCAACTCAAGTGTACTAAGCTCTAATTGTCTGACACTGACCCTACAACGTCTACAAAACTTAACTTGAAATAATTGATGTTTTGAAGTTGAAACCCATCCGACCCCACTGAACTGAGTGCTGCGCCTGTTATGGCATTCCGCTGGCTGACAGAGGGGTTGGGGATGGGGAGCAGGAATTAAAACCAAGAACAAATTATCAACAAAAGCTTGTTCAGCGAATTGCGCTTGTGCGGCGCGATTCTCAGAAATCTAAGATGAACACCATTAATGAATCAAACCATGTACCAAGCAGCAATTTAAGTGACCTAAGATGGAGACGTCTACCAAAGGACCCTGACCATGAAAGAACCCTGGAGCACTGAAGTAGATTTATGGTGCCTTGTGGTTTTTATGGTCGAAAACGTCTCCCCAGGGGTTCTGCGATGGAAAAGTGAAAAATGCCGCAACTTCCAAAAGTCCGAAAATTGTTTCTTGTCCATATCGGGTGCCACGGGCGCGAAGCAAATGTTGGAATTGGAAAACAAGCGTCCAATTTTGTAGGTACAACGAAGAAGCAGGATCAGAACGTAACAAGTGAGAGGCCATGGTGTGGACCCAGCGTACAGTCACAAAAGAACTTCTTGGCGTGCGACACAGTATCGTGTAGCTGTTGTGCGCCGTTCCTGGCTTAAGGGAGCGGAAACTCTGTGCTTGATGTATTTGTTGTTGCTCTTGGGCGCATTTACGCCACGGCTGGAAGTCTCCTTCGGGGCGTGGCGATTCCCAAACTCTAAGTGTGTGCGTCTAGTGTACAAGTACGTTAGCAAAAACAGCATGTTTTGCTGCAAAAAAAAGTTGCCCATCACGTCCGTCTTCTGATCATGTCTGGACGCCATGGCTCCACCCCCCCGCAACATGCATTTTACCATGATTCCTCATGTCAGTGTTCTATGT